CCCCTGGTCATGATCAATGTGTCCCACTGCAGAATCTCATTTAGCCTAACCAAACATACCAAAAATAGATCGCATCTTCATCACTCTCCTTGATTATTTCTATTCCCATCAATTAATCGAGTACCAAACTTGAAGTTCTCACAGTCTTTTCCTCGAAAACAAGGCATTCATTTTCAAGGCACAACAAACCCTCTGAGCTAGCCATGGTGTATTCAAAGACATAGGCCTTCAAGCATCAAACTAAAGTAAGCAACATAAACACCTCAGAAATCCAAGAATTCAAGCTTGAAAACACAGAGACTGAAGGCACGGAACAAACAACTTTTCAAACATGCAAAAAAACAAATCATGGAATCAAACAATCAAAAAAAGGACAAAGAAAAACTCACTGGTTCAAATTTCATAGCTTAGATTCCTCAAAGTTGTAGCCTTCTTGAAAGAAATGGACAAAAAAGTGAAAGAGGAGGAAGAAGATGAAAAGAAAAAGAGGGTAATTTCAACTGCATTCACCTGATAAATCCCAAAAAGCAAAAACAAACCGTTGCCATCATTAAGAACCAATAGATCTCTCTTACTGTTTGGTCACCTCAGATCACATGTTGTTTAACAAAGCTGTCCCTGCCTCTATCTTACAAGAGAAAACGATAGTCAGCCACAATAAGGAGTAGAAATAAACAAATAAAAAGAGCCCAGAGACAGAAACCAAGTCTCTTTTTCATTTTTTATTTTCCTCGAGACAGAGAGAGTACTTGAATTGAAACGAAAGAGAGGGGCGGTCTTTTTCAAGTGTTTTAGTGTAAAAATGATTTCTTTAGCTTAGATTAGATCTGATAACAATTGTAACAGAGAGATACCTCTTGAAACAGGACATGGTACCAACGAGGCGGTTTTGTCCGTTTGTTTTCAGCATGCAAACTGATATTTTTTTTTTTGTTCAGATTTAAAGGGTTAATTTCATCATAAGTCCTCAAACACTCGGGTTTCAAAATTGATCCTAAACTTTAAATGTGTTAATTGAGTCCCTAACGAATCATTATCTCATCAACGGCTATAGGAATGTTCCTCTTGCGTACGTTTCTATAGGAAATTTCTTCTTATCTCTGTTATAAAACTTAAATTTATTTCTATTTTACGACTCATAAAACTAAAAGTTTTCTGATTTAATCTAGTTATAGTTATTTTGTAACTTATTTCATATATATATATATTATTTTGTAACTCATTTCATATAATACATATTAGTTGTTCTAAAATCTCTCAATCATTTACTAACAGGGTTAGTTCGAGTTGTAAGAAACTTGATATTGCTTAAGCAAAACCTCAAGTTTGAGTTCTTACGCATGTAGAAAATTCTTGTTGGGAGACTCAACCACCAAAGTAAGATGTGTAATGCGCGTAGGTCTGAATTACTTAATATAAAACCTTGGAATCTAGAAGACAACCAAGTAAAATATCTCAATCTTTAACCATAAATATTCAAATATTTTAGCTTACTCAAATTTAAGACTCTAGAAAATAATAATTATTCTTTAACCATTGAAGTTGTTTGGCTGATAAAGAATTTGTGAGGGTTAACTGCGAAGAATAGAAAAGAAATAACCAGAGAAAAAGGGGTCCGTAACTCCGTATACCTTCAAATTCCATGTCCGCTACGGCACCAAGAAGTGAGATTTTGTATTAAATTTATTCTCTTTAGCTGCAGATCATATCAACACTTTGTTATACGGTTCAAAGACAAATTTGAAAAAAGAAAAAGAAAAGAAATGGCGACGTTATCGTCATTGAAATATTAGGTGGATTTTGCAGAGCAGTATTAATTCACAGACAGACAGAGTAAATTGTTTGGCTGCAAGCGAACACAATACTTGCATAATAGCGACATCCCATACCAAAATGTTGGGGACTCTTTGTTTTTGCTTATCCACATCATATGTTTCGTCATTTTCAGATACCTCTTTGCAAATTCAAATGAATCCGAATACGTGAAGAATTCTCATGTTCTGCGATGCGAGTCGGGTTTTATTCGATTCGAATGTTATTGCTCTTCGTGCATGGGTTCAAGAGGACTAACTAAATAAATTGGTTCAGTCCTTGGGAATGCCCGTATCCTTTTATTTTTTGTGCTTTCGTGACCGCATGTGCCTACACGAAAGAGAGAGGGATGGATAGGTAATTGGGATATGGTAAACAAATAATTTGCACATGTCAGGTCACTCCAGTTTCCATGTGTGGATTGTCAAGACATCACCACGTGAGTCAATTTTGTAGTCTAATACATATAAGAATCAATCGCCATAAATATTAGTTGAATTTAAAACAATTAAATTATGACATAATATTTTCGATTCCTCGATATTATAGATGTTTTCAGAATCATTTTTAATCGTTGGAAAACGTTTTCTTCATGTCAAGAAACAATATCATTGCAATCCGTCTCAACCCTAAACACCTTTGTTTGTTAATCGACTACTTTTGCCAGCATTGAATCTGGAGTTGCCACTACATAAATGTAGATTAGTAGGATGTTTAAGTGGTTAATTACGGAAGGTTGGCTAATGCCGTATTTGGTGGGATCTACCCATGCACGCTTGAAGTACAATGGCAACCCTAATTCATTAAAGATTGCCCACTTGTTCTTCATCCAACAAAGTTAAAAAGGCAATTAGAAAGCAGGTGTTTGGGTTAGTACTATTCTCAACATAGCTAAATTACACGTTTATTCACTTATTTTCTCTCTTATTTCACTCACCGTACTTTTAATTTTTTTCAATTTATTCACTGAACTTTAACATTAAACTTTTTTGTCATTCCGCTGTTAATTTTAACGGTTATGACGTGAAACATATAAATAATTTTTAAATCATCAAAATATTATAAAAAAGATAAACTATTTTTACTTTTTCATTTTTACTCTTTCCTTCTTCCTTTTTATCCCCTTTTCTCTCTGCATTTCTCTGGGTTTTTAGTTTTTCTTTTCTTTTTTCTGGTTCTATTATATTTCAAAATCACTATCTTTATAAAATCCCAAGTCCTCTCTTGCCTTCCCCTCATTCTTCTTTATTCTGGTGTTTCTTCTCTCATTACTTTATGTTTAGTATCTTCAAAGTTAAAACAAATTGATAGGAAAAAAAAAGGAAAATTTACAACTATGGAGAAAGAGAAACAAATTTCTCTCATCTTCTGGAAATAATGGATACCCATAAAAGACCCATATCACCACTCCACTCTCTAAGTTTGAGGTACAAATTTTCTTCAACTATTTAATTTTTTTAGGAAACTCTTTTTTTAATTTTGATTTTTAGTTGTTTCTTATTCACTGTCTATGCTTATATTTTTGGTTTTGTAAGAGAATTGATCTTCATCTTTTCTGGGTTTTATCTTCGTTCCATTATTTTTTCGTTTGTTCCTTTCGATAATGGGGAAAGATTGCGAAGAAGCTATGAGAGTATTTGGTTTCAACTTGCTTAGAATTCATTATTATTTGTGGCATTGGTTTGATCCAAAATGATTTTCCCTTGGGATTTATTTCTTCAAGCACCGTATGATGCAATCGGACTTCGTATTGTCCCTCTAATTTATTCTTTCAACTCTTGAAAAATTATAAATGATGGTAGCACAATTCTTTTTGCAAATTTCGAAGTCAATATTTGATCATTGGTCTCCGGTAAAGGTGATCGGAAGTGGTCAGAATAGTTTTCGGCGTTGTGGCTAGAACATGGGTTCAAATGAGATTAAAGGAGAAATAGAGATCTTAGGGGAGAAAGAAGAACGATAAATGAAAGAAAACACGTCGTTTTGATCCAAAACCATGTCTTTTTTTTATAGAATCCAAAACCATGTCTTTTATTTATTGTCACATCATCACATTGTTAGAAAAACTAAAAAAGTTAAGTGAACAAATTGAAAAAATTGAAAATACGATGAGTGAAATAGAAGAGAGAATAAAATTCATAAGCGTTTAATTTACCCTAAAATTGGAGTTATTCAAATTTACGAATCTTTCAAACTTTAAAATTTTTTTGAGTCAAATTAAACTTATGGCTTGATTTCCTCAAAACCTCTTATTGAAAAATAAATTATAAATACATTTTATAAATTTAAATATTATTTAATTTATTAAATAATATTACAAATCTTACATGTACGAAAAATATAAAAGTATATATACGTATATCTTATATGATTAGAAAATATTTTTTAAATAGAAATCAATCAATAAAAATTTAGATTATAAAAAATTTATAATTAAATTTAAATGATTCGTAAATTATGAATCAATAAGATTTTTTGAAGAAAAATTATCGATGGAAATATAAATGAGTTAAAAGAATTAATAGAAAGAACAAATTTATAAAAAAGAAAAGTCAATTAAATGATCAAATTGAATAAAATAGGTTTAAATTTAAAAAGAATAAATTTGTTGCTGATGATAGGAATTGAAATTACGTATTGGAGTTTTAGTGGAACATGCCATTTAAATTCGAGTGAAAATGAACTAAAATGATTAATTAAATAAATAATGAATCATATAAAGTTAAAGAATTAAATTGAAAAAATAAAAAGTTGATTTTCGAAAAGGGAAATCAAAGCTACATATGTATACTACTATGAATGAATGAGGAATTTGATAAAAAAAATGGACTTAAAATGATGAGGAATTGAATTCTACTATGATTTATGAGAGTATACTTCAAATTTGATTTAAAAAATGAACTTAAAATGAATGAAGAAATGAGGAATTTTAAAGTCTCCTTTAGCATAATGAACTATTAACTAACTATACTGTACACAAATGGGGATGGTTAAACCAGAGGATTATGAGCTTAATTTACATTCTAAAAACGAATTGTTGTACCCTTTGGTCTCTCTCTGTTTGTCAGTTCTCGTGAACCAAGTTGGTCAGCTCGCTCAAGGCGTACTTTGGTAGCTTGTACTTGGCACCTGCATTGTAATTTTACGAGCAGCATAAACTACGGAGAAACAATTCCGTAAAAAGAAAAGAAATAAGGAGTCGGCTATCGATATGCATCTCGCTCATCATAGCAAATCGTTAGATCGTTGTTCTGAACAATCACCCCATCACTATCGATAATTGCTTGTGCAAGGACTAATTCGGCTTCTGCTGCAGCTCGAAGAGCATCCCATATCTCTGGTGGCAACAAAACAATCATTCTTCAGATGTAGCGGAAAATATGATAGAACAAGAAACATATAAAAAAGGCTTCAACCAGGGGACAAAAGTTCATTTTAGAGATATCGATACGATGAGTAATAGCATGGCACCAATCATAAACAATATCTCATAAAAGAGTAACGAGAAAAGAATCTCCGGTATTGAAACACCGCTCACCACAGACACTCCCAAAACTATTTCTAGTTAACACCTATAGGTTTCAGTAGCATTAAAGATGGGTGCTGGCTCAATAGAAGGGTATCAAGCATAAATAATGAGAGAACAAAATGAGCAGATGGAAAGAACTTAAACTTCCGATGAAAAGAAAAAGGTTCGCAAGACGTATAAAACGACGGTTAACGTTGTCGACTACCATTACATTAGTTCAAGATCAAAACCTATAACTGAAACTTGTTAACATAAACCTTTATACATTAGAAGAAAGATGCATCCTACAGATTGGGTAGAGAATTCAAGATGAAATTTAATGGTAATCCGGCTCCAGAACCTTTTACTTTGGAGAGCAAAAGATGGCAACCTTTCACAAACATTGTTAAGCTCTCACATCTGGTTAACATCACGATCAGGTGTTTGTTTTAACAAAAGGGGGTTGATACCATTACAGCCTTACCCATTGCTCTCACCTTCCGTATCATCTCAAAGCTTCAGTTCTCATTGAACAAGGTCTTAGGTAGTCCATAGTATGTGAATCGAATCGGCTTATTAATTGTTTAATTGAATAGATTCGTACTCACATTACATTTAAAAACTAAATCCGATAGCAACCAAGTTGATAACTCAATGGCAGCCGTTACTAACTTCCAAAGTAAGATGGACCAAGCAGTCCAATTTCATCCTCACATTAATAACTCAACTATCGTGTCTGAGAAGCATTTCGAGTAAAGACTATATAAATGTGCAACAGAAACAGCACCGGAGGAAAACATTACACAAAGATCCAGTACTGAGTCCATTGCAATCTTACTAATCTAAACATTGCATCGAACAATCGATCTCTACAATATTATCAAACTTTACTAAAAACCATGTCCACAAAGAAAACAAATTTTAAGAACTTCACTAACAATACAACGGTAAATACCTGTCCGGCCACCGTAGTGAGGAGCTGTATCCCCAAATTCATCACGCATCTGCATAAGCTGCGTCCTCGTAATCAGTTCAGAATGCTTCCATGGTTTCGGCTTTCTGATTTTCTTCACATTATCTGCAGTGTATTGGAATAACCAAAAATACCACAATTGATCAAAAAGAAGTAGCTTTCAATCTTACTATACAAGCAAGGATCATTCATTAGAAGATATTTATAAGACATCGGTCAAGTTAAAAGTCGAATTATGAAATGTATCAATTAAGGAAAACAGATTAAGAGTAAGTTCATATAAACATGTATGTTACGCCAAATTGCATGCATGGTTTGGATTTTTAATGGGCTATTTCGTTTGGTTTATTCAGGGTTGTGATGCCTCGATCTTACTGGAGGATTCCCCTCACCAGCGAAAGATTCTTACCTCAAAATAACAACTCGGTACGAGGCTTTGAGGTTATCGATCAGGCTAAATCCGCCGTCGAAAACGTTTGCCATCTTATGATGATTAAATCTAAACCCTACATTATAAAACAACAAGATCATCAAAACCATAGTCAAAATTAGTCCAGAAACAAATCCACAATTCAAGCCAATGTAATTAAAGAAGAAGAACCGTTAACATAAAAAAAACACAATAGAAAATAATTGGTTAATTGCATAAGTGAAGAAAGCGATTTCTTTTTTTAAAAAATTACCGTCACCCCTGGTTCGCTTGGATCCCGAACAACCCATTGCCACTAAAGAGCAGTAATCGAAAAAACAAAAGGTTGGTTTTTCTTTTAAAGGAATTTGGAGTTAAATAAATGGTGCAACAGCAGCAGCTGGCGTTGGTGCTGGTGCTGATAATGCAGACTTTCTTCAATCGCAAAACAGCGAGCGACCTTTGAGCAACAGTTAATGAAAGGACATAAAGTTGCGCTCCCTTCACTCTTCTTCTTCTTCGTTTTTTCTTCTACTTTTCTTAAGGGCGTCGATTTTCAAAGAAACTTTCTTTTTAAGAATGGGCTTATATTCTTTGTATCACCTACCGTTGCTTCTTTTCAAACTTCATCTTTCCACTTTTGTTTGTCTTTTTGATATATAGTAATTTGAAAACTTATAAATAAATATATCTTAAATATAATTAAATGAAAAGATATATTATGATATTTCAATTATATATGAAAAGATTATATCATGAATCCTCGTTATCATATTAATCATGATTTTAATCAATAAAATTATTTGTTTTGTTTTTTTATATTCTATCGTAAATCATTAAGTTTTCACTCATATTTTCACATTTTTTTAGATTTTGTAAAATTTTCATTTAAATAGATTAACAGAAAAAAATTAAACATATATATCTTTAATGAATGATCTTTAAAAACCATCAGTTTTATGTTAGTTAAAGTTTTCAAAGAGATTTTTCAACGGATCAAGTGTCGTAATTGTCAAATAATTAATCATTTTTCTCATACAATTATGCTAAAAACGTAGAATAAGGAAGAAGGGTGTCGGTCCACAGGGATTCGAAAACTTCTAATTTTTATTTGATTTGATTTTGAACCAAGATATCTGTAAAACAAAAAAAATTAAAAAGGGGTTGGAATAATCAAGTAAAATAAATAAAATAATTTAAAATAAAAAAGCAAGAAAAGATAATTATGATGAGAGATATCCTTCAGCTTCGCTTTGCCTCAATCCGTCTCAATCACTGAAATAGGTTTTACTTTGGATACTTGCCGGTTATAGTCTACAAGACCCAACCCTTGTAACTTACTCTTCTATCTAATGAATTAATTCCCAAAGACAATCTTTGGAATTTAATCCTTGTTTAGATTAACAACGACAATCGATGTTAACGCCAATTCTTTCTTTAATGTTGGAAAAACACGTGCTCGGATTATAGTTTCTCGATAAGAATCGAATCCGATATTTATTTCCCTTAGTGGACCACCGCAAGTCTATTCTTAGGGAATTGAATTTGCTACAAGTCGAGTATCATCCCCAACAATAGATCACAACACCAATCAAACCAATGTGCACACTTTGGATTGAAGATATTGAGATGTCTGAAGAAAGGTTGATTGTCTCTCTGTGTCTGTCGAAAATCAAGAAAGACACTAAAGATATGAAGTGCTTTTACAATTATCACGAGATCGGATTAAATCGTAGCTCAGCTATCGGCTATGAAAAAGTTTAGCCAAGTATGATATAATTCATACTTGGCATGTGGAAGAGAGAAAAAGTGAAAAAGAAAATAATTTTATTGAAATAAAAACCTAAAAGCCAAAATCAGTTCTATACTGAATTCTGAACTTATCTCTCAAGCTTCTCCCCTAAAGGGTATTTATAGTTTTGAGATAACCTAATGAAAATAGAATACTAACTCTTAATTACATTAAAATACTTAATTAACAATAAACTAAAATTCCTAATAAAAATAATAAAATCTAAAGTGTTTAAATTTAATTGCATCTTTTAATTCCTAAAGAATTGTGGTTCGCCTGGCTTTTCCCCTTTGATCTTGCTGATTGAATTATTCAATTAAAGTTGGAGCATAACTTGGTCTTTCAATCTGAGTTGGCGCGACTATTCCCAGAAATAGAATAAATATGTTTTGATTCATTCTTTAATTTTTGTTTTTTAGGAAGTAGAATCCTACATAGAATCTTATGTAAATAACTCAAATTAGCACTATAAAAGAGATACCATGGATTAATTAATAATAAAATATTAACCAAATAGAACATTTATCAAATTTCCTCCTCACTTATTCAGTGTTTGTCCTCAAGCATGCCTTAATTAATTATTAAAATCTCAAATTATCAATCTTTCATCTCATAATATATTAAGGAAAACCAAACGAGTCAATAATCACATCAATCATTGAAAACAATGTGACAATTAAGCAAGTAGACACAACTAGTAACAAGTTTAAGTAAAAGCCAAGATATCCCTATTATCCATCAATTTCAATGTAACAAGACTCAATACCTCACAAGGATTCACTCATTATCACTCAAAGTGTTTAGGGTAAAAAAATCGCTCAAAGACAAGATTAATCAAGACATTACCATAGGCTTGTAAGAAAATCAAGTATCCACCACTTGTTCAAAGAACATGCATTTAATTAAAGGGTCTTTAATCAAGTTGTAATGGGGCTTAATTTAGGGTAGGGATAAGGTTGAAAAAATGGGTTAAGTGTCAAGACAAGAGATGTAAAACATATGAGTTCAAGCCACGATTTCAACAATGTAAACACACTCGAATAAGCGCAATTGAATAATCAAAATTTTCCTTTTCCTCTATTTTCTTTTTCGATTTATCTTGTTGTTTTTTATTTGTATTTTGCTGCTGTTTTTTTATTCTATTCGAACATTTTGTTCGATCTATTTTTTTAAAATGTTTCTTATTTTTTCTCTTGATTTTTATTTTGTGGAACAAATCTATCTCATTTCTCGATGAGGGTAACAAAATAGGGTAAAAATAAAAAAAAATGAAAGGTTTTATGTTTTTATAATGTGGTAAAATCAAAGAAAGGGGTGAAGGCTTAAAATGGGTAGAGAAGTGTGATAATCCTACGTGCCCTAATTATCTTAAAGCATCAAGTTTCAACATGTGGTCTTGATATGCATTTAATCACAAGCTCTAGAATGTCAAAATTAATCCAACACACTCAGTCAAACAAATGAACAAGAAAGAAAATGTATGCTCGTTTAGGCTCAAATCTCACAAGAAGTTATATTGTGTATTGAATCAAGAAACATATCAATCAACAGATTCATAGAACATCAAGAAAATTTTAAGGAAAAGTACAAATCATGTCGTTTTTACCATCATGCACCCGAAATCTGATAAAAGTGTGATCACAAACTCATAAGGAGTTTCTACAATGCAATGACGACGAAGAAAGGTCGAGAGCTAAACAAAGATACCAGGAGGCAAAGCGGGAAGCCAAGAAAATGGTAGCTAAAGAAAAGGATAAGGCATACGAGGAAATGTACAAGAGATTAGACACCAAGGAAGGACAAAATGGCATCTTCAGACTTGCAAAATCTAGGAGATTAGGAAAAAGGATCTAGGTAACATTAGGTTTATTAAGGATAACAATGGTGTTCTTTTAGCGAAAGATCATGATATTAAGAGGGTCTGGGGTAGTTACTTCTTTGGCTTATTTAATGAAGGTGCCTCTCCATGTAGAGATAGTATCGTTGATGGGTTAGCCGACTATCATACTACGGCCAATGACTGCCCTACAAGTAGGATTGGGTTTGAGGAAGTTAAAATGGCTCTTAGAAAGATGGGAATGGACAAAGCTGTCGGTCCTGATCAAATTCCTATCACTGTGTGGTTGGCCCTAGGAGAAGAGGGAGTTAAATGGTTGACCAACATCTTTTATATTATTTTAGAGACTGCCAAGATGCCAGAGGAGTGGAGAGAGTCTACGGTGATACCAATCTATAAAAATAAAGGAGATCCCCAACGTTGTGGTAACTACAGAGGTATTAAACTACTCAGCCATACCATGAAGCTATGGGAAAGGGTGATAGAGGCTAGGTTGAGACAAGTTACTAGGGTTTCGGAAAACCAATTTGGCTTTATGCCAGGCAGGTCTACCACAGAGGCGATTCATCTACTTCGACGGCTTATGGAGAAATATAGGGAAAAGTCTAGAGATCTTCACATGGCGTTCATTGACCTTGAGAAGGCTTATGATAGTGTTCCCCACGATACGATCTGGAAGACTTTGGAAACGAGATGGATCCCAACTGCTTATATCCGGGCGATTCGTGATATGTACTGTAGATCTACTACTTACGTCAGGACTACAGTTGGCGACACCGAGGTATTCCCGGTGGAAATCGGACTCCACCAGGGGTCGGCTCTTAGCCCTTACATCTTCGCCTTGATTATGGATGACATCTACTGTGCGACACCAGACGGTGTACCATGGTGTATGTTTTCGCTGACGACATTGTCCTAGTTGCTGAAACAAAATCTGAGTTGAATAGTAGACTGGCTACCTGGAAGACTACTTTGGAAGAAAAAGGTTTAAGGATCAATATTGAAAAGACAGAGTATTTATGTTCAAACTTCAATGGGAACCAAAACGATGAAGATGTAGAAGTATGCATAGAAGGACACGTTCTCCCCTCAAAGGATTGTTTCAAGTACCTAGGGTCTATGATACATAAAGATGGGGGTGTAGATGATGACGTTACACACCGTATAAAGGTGGGATGGCTAAAGTGGAGGGCCGCTACTGGAGTTCTGTGTGACAAGAAGGTGCCTCTAAAACTTAAGGGAAAGTTTTATAGAATTGCAATAAGACCAGCGCTGTTGTATGGATCAGAATGTTGGGCAACCAAGAAGGATCACGTAAGGAGGATTGAGGCCGTAGAAATGAGAATGCTTCGATGGACATGTGGTAGGACTCTGTGGGATATGACGACAAACTCTGCGATTAGGATGTCCTTGGGGGTGGTGTATGTTTCCGAAAAATTGAGGGAGGGAAGACTACGGTGGTTTGGGCATGTCCTTAGGCGACTACCGTCGGATGCGGTCAGGAAGGTAGAGTCGATTACAGTCGACGGTGCCAGAAGGAAATGACGACCAAGGCGGAAGTGGAAGACTACTTGAGATCTGATTTGAGGGATTTAGCCCTTACCGAAGACATGACCTCTGATAGGAAAATATGGAGGCTAAAGACTAGGGTAGTCGAGTAGTGTGGGTCACATCTATAGGGTGTATCATCTCTGTATTCTTTTAATGTCTTTGTAGTATTTTCCATGACTTCTACTTTTTATACGTTTCTGTTATTGGTATTTATGAAGGATTAGAACTGGTCTTGCTATCGTTGACTTC